AAAGCCTCAGAAGTATCATATCAATGCCTCATTCTCATGGGTGAGATTTGAAAACTTATGAAGATTTTATTATGCAACAACATACTCTAATATATACTTCACTAAAATCATAAATAATTTTTTACCAGAAGAAAAATGGATGGTGATGGTTGTGTGCAGAGAAAACTCTAGAAATGCCCAATACAGATTTTACTTTAAAACTTTCTCTAACTTCCAAGAACTTCTTTGGGCAGTAGTTCCACAGACCTTCCAAGTTCCTCCTTTGTGAGTAAGGAAAGGGACACCTTTTTAGCCCAGAGTAAGTGGGCAAAGGATGATCCCAGTTGCAATATAATATTTGTAATTGTTGAAAAATGTATGTTAATTTATAGAGATCTATACACCAGACCATAATGAATTATGTAGTAATATAGCTGGCAACTCGGTTACTTGTTATGCTGTAACAAGGAACATTGCATTTTTTTTAGCATCCCTGAAAAACAATCTGGAAACAGTGAAGATACCAAAAGCCTCCGTTCCAATTATGACACCCAAAGCCTCAGAAGTATCATATCAATGCCTCATTCTCATGGGTGAGATTTGAAAACTTATGAAGATTTTATTATGCAACAACATACTCTAATATATACTTCACTAAAATCATAAATAATTTTTTACCAGAAGAAAATGGATGGTGATGGTTGTGTACAGAGAAACTCTAGAAATGCCAAATACAGATTTTACTTTAAAACTTTCTCTAACTTCCAATAACTTCTTTGGGCAGTAGTTCCACAGACCTTCCAAGATCCTCCTTTATGAGTAAGGAAAGGGACACCTTTTTAGCCCAGAGTAAATGGGCAAAGGATGATCCCAGTTGCAATATAATATTTGTAATTGTTGAAAAATGTATGTTAATTTATAGAGATCTATACACCAGACCATAATGAATTATGTAGTAATATAGCCAGCAACTCGGTTACTTGTTATGCTGTAACAAGGAACATTGCATTTTTTTAGCATCCCTGAAAAACAATCTGGAAACAGTGAAGATACCAAAAGCCTCCGTTCCAATTATGACACCCAAAGCCTCAGAAGTATCCAATCAATGCCTCATTCTTATGGGTGAGATTTGAAAACTGATGAAGATTTTATTATGCAACAACATACTCTAATATATGCTTCACTAAAATCATAAATAATTTTTTTACCAGAAGAAAATGGATGGTGATGGTTGTGTACAGAGAAACTCTAGAAATGCCCAATACAGATTTTACTTTAAAACTTTCTCTAACTTCCAAGAAATTCTTTGGGCAGTAGTTCCACAGACCTTCCAAGTTCCTCCTTTATGAGTAAGGAAAGGGACACCTTTTTAGCTCAGAGTAAGTGGACAAAGGATGATCCCAGTTGCAATATAATATTTGTAATTGTTGAAAAATGTGTGTTAATTTATAGAGGTCTATACACCAGACCATATTGAACTATGTAGTAATATAGCTGGCAACTCGGTTACTTATGCTGTAACAAGGAAAATTGCATTTTTTTAGCATCCCTGAAAAACAATCTGGAAACAGTGAAGATACCAAAAGCCTCCGTTCCAATTATGACACCCAAAGCCTCAGAAGTATCCAATCAATGCCTCATTCTTATGGGTGAGATTTGAAAACTGATGAAGATTTTTTTATGCAACAGCATACTCTAATATATGCTTCACTAAAATCATAAATAATTTTTTACCAGAAGAAAATGGATGGTGATGGTTTTGTACAGAGAAACTCTAGAAATGCCCAATACAGATTTTACTTTAAAACTTTCTCTAACTTCCAATAACTTCTTTGGGCAGTAGTTCCACAGATCTTCCAAGTTCCTCCTTTATGAGTAAGGAAAGGGACACCTTTTTAGCTCAGAGTAAGTGGACAAAGGATGATCCCAGTTGCAATATAATATTTGTAATTGTTGAAAAATGTGTGTTAATTTATAGAGGTCTATACACCAGACCATATTGAATTATGTAGTAATATAGCTGGCAACTCGGTTACTTATGCTGTAACAAGGAACATTGCATTTTTTTAGCATCCCTGAAAAAACAATCTGGAAACAGTGAAGATACCAAAAGCCTCCGTTCCAATTATGACACCCAAAGCCTCAGAAGTATCCAATCAATGCCTCATTCTTATGGGTGAGATTTGAAAACTGATGAAGATTTTTTTATGCAACAGCATACTCTAATATATGCTTCACTAAAATCATAAATAATTTTTTACCAGAAGAAAATGGATGGTGATGGTTGTGTACAGAGAAACTCTAGAAATGCCCAATACAGATTTTACTTTAAAACTTTCTCTAACTTCCGAGAACTTCTTTGGGCAGTAGTTCCACAAACCTTCCAAGTTCCTCCTTTATGAGTAAGGAAAGGGACACCTTTTTAGCCCAGAGTAAGTGGGAAAAGGATGATCCCAGTTGCAATATAATATTTGTAATTGTTGAAAAATGTATGTTAATTTATAGAGATCTATACACCAGACCAAAATGAATTATGTAGTAATATATAGCCGTCAACTCGGTTACTTGTTATGCTGTAACAAGGAACATTGCATTTTTTTTAGCATCCCTGAAAAACAATCTGGAAACGGTGAAGATACCAAAAGCCTCAGTTCCAATTATGACACCCAAAGCCTCAGAAGTATCCTATCAATGCCTCATTCTCATGGGTGAGATTTGAAAACTGATGAAGATTTTATTATGCAACAACATACTCTAATATATACTTCACTAAAATCATAAATAATTTTTTACCAGAAGAAAATGGATGGTGATGGTTGTGTGCAGAGAAACTCTAGACATGCCTAATACAGATTTTACTTTAAAACTTTCTCTAACTTCCAAGAACTTCTTTGGGCAGTAGTTCCACAGACCTTCCAAGTTCCTCCTTTGTGAGTAAGGAAAGGGACACCTTTTTAGCCCAGAGTAAGTGGGCAAAGGAGGATCCCAGTTGCAATATAATATTTGTAATTGTTGAAAAATGTATGTTAATTTATAGAGATCTATACACCAGACCAAAATTAATTGTGTAGTAATATAGCTGGCAACTTGTTTACTTGTTATGCTGTAACAAGGAACATTGCATTTTTTTTAGCATCCCTGAAAAAAAATCTGGAAACGGTGAAGATACCAAAAGCCTCAGTTCCAATTATGACACCCAAAGCCTCAGAAGTATCCAATCAATGCCTCATTCTCATGGGTGAGATTTGAAAACTGATGAAGATTTTGTTATGCAACAACAACATACTCTAATATATACTTCACTAAAATCATAAATAATTTTCACTAGAAGAAAATGGATGGTGATGATTGTGTACGGAGAAACTCTAGAAATGCCCATTAAAGATTCTACTTTAAAACTTTCTCTAACTTCCAAGAACTTCTTTGGGCAGTAGTTCCACAGACCTTCCAAGTTCCTCCTTTATGAGTAAGGAAAGGGACACCTTTTTGGCCCAGAGTAAGTGGGCAAAGAATGATCCCAGTTGCAATATAATATTTGTAATTGTTGAAAATTGCATGTTAATTTATAGAGATCTATACACCAGACCAAAATTAATTATGTCGTAATATAGCCGGCAACTTGGATACTTCTTCAAAGAATCTTTATTGGCACACAATGGAAAATATATAATCTATAAAAGCTAAAGCATTCCGGTCAAAGCCTTCCTCATAGCATACATTATGAATTATGCTTAAAAAAGAATAGGAGCAGAAGGATTTTTTTCTAAAAGAGGGACAGTCCCCCTGAATGAGAGACAGTTAAGAGCAATGTGGCTGTCCCAGTATTTTAAACCCAAACTCAGCTTATCTAGCACACCTGTGGTCACATAGAAGAATATGGTGGGACTCAGCTATAACAGGGCCTTGGTTTAAATACTAATTAGAACTGAAAGAACATTAGTAACCTAGTCCTTGGTAATATAAAATTTAACTCTTGCGGCAATACTCACTTCTTCTCCGGATCCCCCATTGCTGGTCCTGTTCTGGGTTGAATGATGCCCTGTACCATTAAACTTACTTGCTGTGATCCTAATCTGTCAACAACATCTCCACCCCTGGGGGCACATTATCGAGCCACCTTGGGCTCACAAGTGGATACTGCAGACAATGGGGCCATGTCTTTAAGTTGTGGCATTCTCTGCAGCAATCAGGACCTCCACCATTGGAAAACGAAGAGGACCCACAATGTCTTGTGATTGCACCATAGAACTGGTAGTGGAAAGGGGGAGCTTTATATGTCCTGTTTAAAAAATATTGTGCATCCTTCATCGTTAAAACACGTTCACTGCATAATTTTGATAACAGTTTAAACCAGCCTTTCTCAACCTTTTCAACATGGAGGAACCCTTGAAATAACTTTCTGCTTTTGAGGGAACACTTGCTAAAAATTAATCTACAACTCTTGATATATTAGTGTGAGAAGAATTGCCTTTTTACAGATAGATAAAAGATCAATGGTTTCAGTTTGAACTTATCTGGGAGGCAGAAATTGCAAATTGCTTCAGGAAACCCTAGCAACCTGTGGAGGAAACCAAGGGTTCCATGATACTCTGGTTTAGAAACCCTGGTTTAAACAAAGGAGATTGCCATTAAGGCAAGAAAAAACATGGGGACTGCAAGTAAAAGCTGACTTAGCCTAATTTTTTTTCCATGTTGAGTGCATGCATGAAGTTACAGTGCTACAATATCACATTAATCATTGGGGAAGGAGAGAGTATAGAGATGCTTTTTCCTGCCTGTCACAGACTGATGGCATAATTCCTCCCAAGATGCTTCCCTTTTGTGTCATGTCAATATTTTTTTGTAGCAGACTGGTAAAGTTACTAATAATTATTGTCTATCCTTGTGAATATTATACATATTCTATATCATATAAAAATGAATCAATAACAAATCAAATTATAAATAAAAATATGTTTGTACTTTGTATGGTTACGAAAAAAAATTAAAAATAAAATCGTACTTGTTTTCTTTTATTTCAGTCTTGATAAAAGACCTGGAAAACAGACAAGAAGTGGAGAGGATGCAATAAGCATTCATTCAAACCTTGACACCCAGAGCTTAAGAAGCGTCACATCGATCCCGCGCTCTGAAAGGTCAATAGTATAGTGATTCTGTTTGTCAGTCAATAGTTCCCATTGAACATTTTTTGTCCTAAGTCATCAGGAAGAACCCACACTAGAAATTAATTGTATTAGACAGCAGGCATTACCAGACCTTGATTGAATGAAATGTCAGTATTGTCCATAATGTAATATGATCAAATTTAGTTTATAAAATATCAGATGCTTTTAAGAGATAGTCTTATGCATTATAACTAAATTGTGGTTCACGGCCCACTTTTATTGAAAAAACAAAAAGAACAGTTCATACATATTTGCTCACACAGGACATAAGTGTTGACAGTACAGTGGCGAGCCATCCAGTTATTTTGTCAGCCATGCTATTTGTACTGGTCCCTCAGACCCAGCTCTCTGGCTCTCCTGGCTCACTCAGTCTTTGTTACAGCAACTTGATCCACAGGCCCACTCCTGGCCTCTAGATAGGGGCTCTCTCCCATTTTTCCAGAGACTTATAGATTCCTTCCAGTTCCCCAGACTTGCTAGTTGCCTCAGCATTCTCAGTCCAGCAGACTCACTTAGTTGTCCCAACTCTCCCAGTCCTGCCTGTAGGGAAGCTCTCCAACATGGAGTTCTGTCTCCTGAGTGGATCACCTCTCCTGGCTGGAACACACCCCTGTCTCTAAACAAGAGCACACACCTGCCTCCACACAAAGGCCCTGAGCTATTGACAGATCCTGGCTTTAACAAGTGTGTACACCTGGGCACACACACACCCTGCTGGTCTTCAGCAAGACATAGACACAGAATTGAAAGCTTCATCCCACCCAAGACACTTTGAAGCCTTTGTGCTCCAGGCCCAATATGGGATTACAAAACCAAGGCCCCAATCTGGGATTACAAAACCCAGAGAAAGCTGTAAATATCACTTTCTCCACTCATAATAAACAGTGATTGCAAACTCACCCCATGCCAGGGCCTAGCACTGTCATTATGTATATACTGTATATATATAAATTTGGTTTCAATGTTCTTTTGTAATAGATATCCCCAATCTGCTTTTGAACCCTTGGAGCTACAAGGTTTTACCAAGATCAGAAGTTATATTTCTAATTTTACCTGCACTGATGAACCCTGATATTGCAGCTACCACAGTCTGAAAAGGCATTTTTTAAGTATCATGTAGGGGTCATTTTTAGCCCACAAAGCACTGTATACAACAGCTATAAAAATGTCTGAAAGGAAGGGTTTACAGGGTTTTCTAGGGAAATATATTTTCCCTACTATTATTTACAGATAATATTAATAGGTATACCTTTTAATAGAAGAAGGTAGTACTAAAGTTAAAACATGACATAGTTTAATAAGTATGTTAGATTATTTCAAAATATTAAAAGTAATGATTTGGGGAAAAAAAGTTATTATTTTTCAGTGTTTGACTATATTGCACTATATTTTGCACTCCTACAAACAAATCTCATCAAATTGAATTATGTGCTACCTGTGTCAATTAAGCCATTTTAACTGGATTTTGATTTTGGTCTGTACTGTAGGAGGTCCAAAATAGATATCCACAGTCTCCCAGAAGCTTCTCAGGCAGATTACCTTCAAAGTGGGCCGGGACAATGGTGACGGAATTAGTCAAGCAAGCTTTAAAATTGACTCTCGACCTGAATCCAAGCGTAGTTCACCAGTTTCTGTGATGTAAGCATGTATTCTGCAGTAATTTGGAAGAAATACTGCCAGCTGTTTTATCATTAGGAAGAAGTAAAATCAGTGGTGCTCGAAGCGTCTTCAGAATTATTACCTATCACTTACTCCAAAACACCCTCCTAACATCTTTCAACATTAACACTTAACTACTCCTTGAAAGAAGCCATTGATCTTCCCATACACATAGCCTTAGCTGTCCCTTAACACTTAAATCTCCTAATTGTTAACCTAACCTTTTAAGAGAACCCTGTAGTATGCAGGAATTCCATTATAATGAGTTTAGCAAAGTTTAGAACAGCGTTTACCTACATAATTGTACTTTTATTCAACTCTCTAGGCCAGGAATAATTGATTGTTTTCTATGTACGTTAGTTCAGGTATCAACAGTGCTCCAAAAATAGAACTGTTTATTAGAAAAAAAGGCACTTGTATTTATTAAGATAAAAAAGCTACTCCAAGGGTTATCAGTCTTCTGTGCTGGGTCTTCCGAAATCCAGTTAAAGTGGAAGAAAAGGCTAACTATAACTATTCCTAAAAATATTCCACTATCCTACCTACCCTGTATAAAATACACATGTGTACTTACCTATTTTTAATTCATGCTAGTCCAGTAACTGGATATTGCATCTTCAGCTCCCCTGTGTCAGTGAGCAGCTGCTGCAGAGGAGAAGAGGGGGCACTGACAATGCCTGAGCCATGGGAGCCAATGGGTAATCTCACTGCTCCCATACCCAGGGGAGCAGGAGCTCCAGAATCATGTAACAAAACCTAAGCTGAATAAAAATAGGTAAGTAGACAGATCTTTTTTATACTGGATAGGTAGGATCTGTAGGAGTAAGGGAGAGGGAACATTTTTAGGATTAGTTATAGTTAGGCTTTTCTTCCACTTTAAAGCTGAACTCCAGAAAACCTAAAAATATCTCTTGTTGTGAGGTTTCAACTGCACAGCAAGGGTTAACTGCTTGTTTCTGTCTATGGGATTTAGAAAACCGTATTTATTTACCCACACTCCCCTTCTGAAGACTGCTCTGTATTGCTAGACCAGTCCCTATAGCCTGTTTTCCCCTGCACTCTGGCAGTCTAAGGGCCTCTAATGTCAACAAGATCAATGCAGGATCTGCATTGCTTGTAAGGATGCTGAGGGACAGCATACAGTCGGAGCATGGGGGAGTGCCGCCTGCCAGGGAAGAGGAGGATCAAGTAAGTAAATTTGTTATTACTGTCCCATATACTAAACAAGCAAGGAGCAGCGCCTGCACTGCAATGGAGATTTTTTTTTTGCTTTTCTGGAGTTGGGCTTTAGGATGGGGAGAGCAAAATGAGGGTCAGTTGACAATGTTTGGATTTATTTAACATGAAGATTTCTTTTTTTAGTGGAAGTGTCCATTCCTTGGGGGGTGGCAGTATTAACTCTAAGTCCAGCACATCTGTGGTCGTGCACGAAAGTTCACCAACACCAAGTAAACAAAGCATACCTTCAAACTACAGCAATAGAGTAAGTTACTATTTATGAAACCTTGTTTATTGTCATGAACATGTGTGTACAGAGCATGAACAGTATTATAGTTTTACCAGAACTGTGTGGATAACTATAGGCTAGAGAATGAATGTCCAGTAAACATTAATAATATAGTAAACATTTCACTGTCATACTGGACCTTCAAACCTTTGGAGTCTGTTGTGATGTGTTTCCTCAACACTTAGGTCTGATGGGGCTCTGAAGGGAGGCTTGTTCTTGATGCTGATAGTAACGTAATAGTAACATATTGGTGTTCTCTCTTATGCAATGGACTGAAATAGTGAATGTTTTACTTGGTACTTAAAGCAACAAATACTGTCTTTCTCTCAAAAACTTGGATAAATCCCCATGTACGTAACCTGCCATGACACCCAACTGTGCAATATTTTTATAAGACGTTCCACTAGACCTGCTGAATCCATGTTGGCACATTACTGCAAACGAACACAAACTTGCATTCAGTGGAGACTATGCAGTAGTTACAGCCAGAATTATTTTGTTGTCAACATCCAAGGAAGGAACGGAAGGCCTTTCAAACAAGCTAGCAGGGGATAAAAAAGGAAATTAATTGATTTATATTTATTTGTTTGTAGCATAATCAGTCTTCATTTGTTGTTTGCAAATGAAGTTTGCCAGCTTGTTGTTCTAGGTAAAACAAGCAGCTCAATAAATAAAACAATTTATAATAAAAAAAAGGTATATCATCTTCTTGATTAAACAGCATAAATTTGATAGCCAGCATTCCACAAAAAAAGCATTGCTTTTCAAGAGGTTCATTTTCACTCGAGTGGTGCTGATGCTGACACGGTATCAAAACAGTATTATTTGTTTAAATAGAACTTATCAGGTGGAAATTTTGGCTTTTGAACATGTAATATCCAGAGGTGTCATTCTTTATACTTAATTAGTAAGACAGGCCATAGATGATGAGATGATGCAATTTTCTTACCTTTTAACACAGGCTGAAGGAAAGAAAATCACTTGATTTCCCCATCAATACAGTGAGTGTTGATGGGGGAATACATCCCACTGTTCTATTTTGTTCTGCTGGAGCCTGTCCTACTATAGCCACGGGCAGTGATCACTTGCAAAACATCTGACAGGCTTGTTGTACTTAGGTTGATTGATGGATCAACTTCAGAACAACCAGCCTGCCCATAGATGGATCGAATCTCGGTCAGTCCCTGATGCACCGGGCGAGATTCAGTCCATCTATGTCCAGTTTTAGTGTCGAGAATATATGTAATATACACATTTCTGCTGGGACAATCACTCGCTAATTAGCAAGGGAAATAAAATGATGATATTCCAATAGCCTGCCCCAGCAGTGGCAATTACAATTTTCCTTTCCTGGCAAGTTAATTTAAATGCAAACCTGTCACTTTCCCTATTCAGGGTAATCTGAAACATTCTATTGATAAGACAACCTCCAAAAATGATGGACAATGTGACCTTCTCCCCCACTTTATACAATGTAGAGTTTGCTGTCTTAGTGACCGTTTACTAATACAGAATTGTGTAAGGATGGGTAGATGGCCAATAACCCTGTGCAAGCTCCAACACAGACCAACATAGATTATACACAGGACTAGTACAGGGGCTACGGAAGGTAAAGAAGTCAGAATAGGGGTTCAGGAAGACAAGCGTCAATGGGTGGAGGAGGGGGTGTCAATTAAGTGAAAGATTTAGGTACATTTTTTTTTATTATTTAATATATATTTGTTATGGTTGCATGGTTGTTGGTATTCAATATTACATTACAGAGTTACGTTTTTGTAAAATTTACATAATATTTGGAATGAAATGATATTGAATGAAGGACTTTTTAACAAAATCATTTTTCTTTCAGGGTTCAATAGCAAGTGGAATAAAAGCTAGTTCTAGCATTTCTGATGACATGCCGAGGGGGGATAGAAGACATAATTCTGGCACACCTTCTCCAGCTTCGTCTAGGGTGTCTGTAGCATCTGGTAGGCCTGTCAGTTGTTTCTTGCTGTAATGTCATTTCATACAGTCATGTGAAGCAAGGCAGCTGCTCTACTGCATTTTTTTGCTTTCTTTTCTTCTAGCTGTTTCAAATACCATTGTCACTGCACAGTTTAATCCCCCCTGTCTGCCCTGCACGCGGTGATGTCTAAAATTGTATCTGTATAAGACTAGAAAACTACATTAAAAAAAAATATATATATATAATCAGCCCAAAGCCTACCCCTGGTCTATCAATCCTTAATAATATAATAATTAAAGGCGAACTCCACTTCTTGGACCTTGTTGCATGATACACCCGTATTAAGGGTGTAACATGTAACTTGGTGAAAATGGGACTCCCCTTAACCCATTTCCCCATTCCCCCTCATTACAGTGTGCAGGGGTTCATCTTCCTTGCAGCTGCTGTCACAGGCTTTGCCTGCATAGCCACGCCATTCAGATACGTAAATAAATTATCTACTAGTCCCATCTGCCACTGCAGTAGGTGGATTTTTATTTATCAATGGAAGACAAATGTGGTGATCAGACACAGAAACAGAGACTTGGACCTGTTATCTCATAGTATATATGAGATGGGTAACTTCTACCCTACCCATAATATTGAATGTCAGATACTACAGGATTAAATACTCCCAGAAATGTAGGTCATGATCTCAGACATATGAGTGTGAGTACTGGGTTCCCTGTGTTGTTTAGCTCTGCCTGCAGGGTACCCAGAGAAAAAGCTGCTGAAGAATGTGGTACAAGAGGAGGGAAATGCAATGCACCACTGCCAGTAAGCAAGGAAAGAAGTAAAAGGACTTTCTGATGGAATAGGACAAACTGTGAGATAAGAGATGCATAGTTCTAGCTCCCTTATCTCCTCCTCCCATGCCCATCTCCAAGACTTCTCCAGGGAGTCACCCATCATCTGGAACTCCCTACCCCAATCTATCAGACTATCACCTACTCTGTTTGCATTTCGGCGATCACTGAAAATCTTTCTCTTCAGGGAAGCCTATCCCGCCCTCTGCTAATTTCTGGAATCCTCCACTCTTCCAACCACTCCATCCCCCACAGTGACTACCTACTGTACCATTCACCCCACCCTCCTAGATTGTAAGCTCCAAGGAGCAGGGCCCTCAATTCCCTCTTGTATTGAACTGTATTGTTACTGTATTGTCTCCCACTATAATGTAAAGCTCTGAGCAAACCGTTGGCGCTATATAAATCCTGTATAATAATCTGCAGCTATCACCAATCTGAACTAAGATGCATGCATAAGGAATGCGTATAAAAAAATGTTACAGGGAAAGTTTTGAGTTTCTGGAAATGTTCTAGTCTTTCACATTTTTTAATTTTTCAGCGTTTGACTAACCATGGAGTAAAAACAGTCCATTACTACATTTTAGATGTATTTTTTTTTCATCTTGTTTTTGTTATGTTAGAAGGCTCTAGTAAATGCAAGCCCATTTATGTGCAAGTTCAATTAGGCTAAAATGATCATGTCATTTGAGCAATTCAAAACTGGGCATGCGTTACTGCACATTAAACTGTTTTAGCTGAACAAGTGTACTATCTCATTAAATTGATCATAGGAGCATTAGGAATTTATGCAAAGGAGGCAGACCAGGAGCTAATCATTAACTGCGAGGGCAAAATAAAAGGCAGAATGGCAGCTGAACATGCACAGAGAGAAGGAATATAGCAGTAGTAGAAAAGCTGCTGGTTGTGCAAGGGGGCATAGAGGAGGCAGAAAGAAAGCAGCTGATAGAAGGGATTGGAGTGCAAAGAGGAGCTACAGTTAGCCATCAAACATATAGAGAACCGAAGTACGGGCTAATCAGAGGAAGAGAGAGGAGGCAGGGAGAGAGAATGTAGAAAGCAGATGATCATGAATGGGTTGGATAAGAGAAAAAAACAGTGTTTGATCACCATCAAGGGATAGAAGATGCTAAGGCAAGCCATACATGATTTGATTTTCTTTCCTGCAACCAATGAAAGTTACTTGATTCCCTCTTGTAGGGAGCCTTTCCAGCCTGCAGAACACAATAACGCTGTGGGATGGATTCCCCCCTATCAACACTGACTGCGTTGATAGGGGAATCGAGCAATTTTCTCTTCTGCAACCCATGGTTGCAGGAAAGAAAATCTAATTATCTATGGCTTGGCTTAGCATCTTCACTCCCTTGCCGGCAATAATCGCAGGTTAAAAAAATGATAGGCTGGTTTGACTGATTGATCGACTTGGGTGTAACCAGCCTGCCCATAAATGGATCAAATCTTGGCTGGTCCCTGCTGAACCGGCCGAGATTCAATCCAACTATAGTCAACTTAAGTGTGATCTGATCATGGACTTTTAAGGGAATGGGTAGTGTGGAACTGACAGCAGTTGAATGTTAAAGGGGAAGATGATTGTGGCTGAACTAGAGGAGGAGATAATAGTGGACAAGGGAGAGAGCGAGCAGACTGAGTAATTATTGTTGCAAAGAAGTGAAATGGAGAGAGGATGGAAAAGTACTATATGATAGTATGGGAAGGCTTCATTTTTTAACTTCCCCTACCTATAGATATCACCTGCTTTTGCATTTTTTTTTATTACTTTTGCATTACATGCACAATTTAAATTGCTCATGTTTTTCACAGGTAGCTAGTGGATAAATCCATTGATCAAATAGTGTCAGTACTAATTTAGAATAAAAAACAGGAATCATGTATTTATCGATTTTTGCCGTAAAATGACTGTTATATAATACTGCCTTTTACTAATAAAAGAAATCATGCATAATTTCAGATCGCAGTCGGTCAGAACTGGATCTTAGTGGATATTATGCAGAAGGAAAAGAAGACACGGGAAGCATCAGAAGTAAATCTTTATCAGTCCCCGGGGGTTTGAACACAGAGTTGGTGAGTTGCAAAATAGGCTAACCATGAAAAAACTTGGCTTGCTCAGTACAACCCACTGAATAATATCAGTCCTTGAACAGATATTTGCTGTTATTTTAGTGTCTGTTAGTTGACCGCATGTGTCATTTATTCTTTATTATTCATTATCCTGAAATGTCATGCTTTGGAAATTATCTGGATATTCTCTATGGCATGGGATGAGTACAGATGGTCTATTTGTGTTTATGTGGAATGTATTCCAAGCTTTCAGTGCTTTCTGTTTATCGGAGGCCTTCAGGCTTTCTCTTCCACGCCTGCTGTAGGTTTACCATTAAGAGCAGGTTGTTCATCTTGGCTTCCTTTTCCTAACATCATAATTCTGGCTTTACAAATGTGCTTTCATTACCTCATTTACATCCCGGGGTATGTGGTTGATTTCTCAAGCTGTGTTCCAAAAGGAATAAAACTGAAAAATGACAAATCATAACAGGACATCACAGATTCAAAAACTGAAATGTTTGTGTTTTTAGATATTTTATTTATTATTTAGTATTCTGTTTATTATGTTTGGTACTAAAACATGTATTTCACTTAAATCAAGTACATCTGAAATATTGCATATGCCAAAAAGCATGACCGCGTGGTAGACTTTCTTATTAGTGTCACAGTTATACAGTGTAATAAATGTGTTTTTGCAAAATATAATGTAAACATTGTATACAAATAATTAACAAAATATACAGGTAATTGTCATTTCACAGTAAGCCAAGCCCACTCTTGGAGGTGGGCTCTAACTCTCAATGATCAGCTTTTATTTACTCATGTAAAACTTTTATCCCCCCAAAAAAACTTTTGCTGTAACTGCAGTTAATGTATTTAAACCTGTTAGTACATCTAACACTCCCCTCCCCCCAAGATTAAAAATGCTGTGCCCCCCTGTGCTCCTTCATTTAGAGTAGGGGCACTCTAATATGGGGGATGTGCTACTATATTTTGGAGAATAAAGATATTGTTTAGTGTCAGTTTAAGTTCAGGAGATTGTGATCAGAAGCATATTGTTTTGTACCTGCTGGAGTGAATCTTATTAGAGAGACTCGATTCTTTTATTGTACCCTTTTTGTCTTGGTCTGTGAAATCTACCATGAGGATAAGCCTGGTTTTGATTATTATACCCAATTGTATTCTGATATGTCTCTATAGCACAGGAGATATTGCTTCTGTTTTTTAATAGGAAATTATTTTATTTACTAATTGTTTGTGATCTCACCATTAATTACACTCTGATGAGTAACAGTTTTAAAATGATATTGGTCTATGATCATAGTGCAGTCACCAGACTAAAATGAATGATCTGGTCAGAAAATTGGACAGCATTTTATTTTATTTTTTTTCAGGTATTTATAGAGAGCCGTCAATTTACGCAGCGCTTTACATATATATTGTACATTTACATTAGTCCCTAACCCTCAAGGGGTGTACAATCTAAGGTCCCTAACTTACATTCATACATATACATACTAGGACAATTTAGACAGGAGCCAATTAACCTACCAGCATGTCTTTGGAGTGTGGGAGGAAACCGGATTACCCAGAGGAAACCCACGCAGGGACAGGGAGAACATGCAAACTCCAGGCAGGTGGTGCCGTGGACAGCATTAAAGTAAGAGTCAAAGTCATGAACTGATTGTTGAAAAAAGAATTCCCAAAGAAACTGAAAATATATTTCCAAGTGAAATTTCAACATAATAATTTACCTGTCGAGGGTTTGGTCTCTAAAGAGATGGATAAATTAACAGCATTGCAGATTTATGTTTATAGCAGAGCAAGGGAGCTGCATTGCCCTGATGCCACAGCCATTTAGGTGAGTATGAATGTTTATTTTTTTACTATTTATATAAACAGATGCACATTCCTATATACTAGCCTATGTGTGTACAAAAGAATAAATAAATCAATAAACATGCAAAAGGAAAAAAAATCATATATCATAACAATAAATATTAGATTGTACAAATACCTAGAAGTGTTGAACCATAAATAAACCACAGGCGCTAGTGCATCTGTAAACCATGAATAAATCAATCAATCAATAAAAAAATATGCAGATGGATAATAAAATCACTACTTCAAAGTAACCAATAAATAGTAATCTAGAGCAATGTTTATAGTGTAAAAAAGTGCAGATCAAAGTGCAAAGTCCATGTGACTCCATCCAATATGTGCCAAGAAAAAACAGCAGGTAAGTGTATGTACATGTGACTCCTCCACCGTGAATCACTCAGCCTCTTACCAAAAAGTTGTTGATCTCCTGAGTTAACAGGGATCAATATGCGCTCCATGTGTATATTCGTTTAAGAGCCACCTGTTAGGACTGCTGCAATCATCCAGAACTCCAGCCAGCCAGACACCAAAAGGTTAATATGCACAGCCTATGCGGCATATTCATCCTCCAAGAGGAACCAAAAGGAGCCATCATAGGGGTTGATTTACTAAAGGCAAATAGGCTGTGCACTGCAAGTGCACTGAAAATGCAGTTGCTCTAGATCTGAGGGGGACATGCAAGGAAAATAAAAAACAGCATTTTTGCTTGCACATGATTGGATTAAAGAAATAAGCAGAGCTTTGCTTCATTTCAGAGCTTCCCCTCGGATCTGGAGCAACTGCACTTGAAGTGCAAAGTATATTTACCTTTAGTAAATCAACCCCATAGTGTTACACAACCATGGGGTGCAGTTAAAAAAAAGTCAGGGGGCATAATGTCACTGACACTCTGTCACACAGCATCATGACCTGGGAAACACTATTATGTTTTATATTATATTATTATATTTATTATTATTATTATTATTATTATTATTATATTATGGGTGTCATTAGATTAGGGTGAATAAACAGAACCTGTGCACCCTTATATCCTCATCAGAGTCCCTATTTACATCAATGTCCCCATCAGAGCGCTCCCTTACATCAGGTGTCCCCATCAGAGTGCCCCCTTACATCAGGTATCCGCATCAGAGTGCCCCCTTACATTAGGTGTCCTCATCAGAGTGCCCCCTTACATCAGGTATCCGCATCAGAGTGCCCCCTTACATCAGGTATCCGCATCAGAGTGCCCCCTTACATCAGGTGTCCGCATCAGAGTGCCCCCTTACATCAGGTGTCCGCATCAGAGTGCCCCCTTACATCAGGTGTCCCCATCAGAGTTCCCCCTTACATCAGGTGTCCCCATCAGAGTGCCCCCTTACATCAGGTGTCCGCATCAGAGTGCCCCCTTACATCAGGTGTCCGCATCAGAGTGCCCCCTTACATCAGGTGTCCGCATCAGAGTGCCCCCTTACATCAGGTGTCTGCATCAGAGTGCCCCCTTACATCAGTGTCCCCATCAGAGTGCCCCCTTACATCAGTGTCCCCATCAGAGTGCCCCCCTTACATCAGTGTCCCCATCAGAGTGCCCCCTTACATCAGTGTCCCCATCAGAGTGCCCCCTTACATCAGGTGTCCCCATCAGAGTGCCCCTTTACATCAGGTGTCCCCATCAGAGTGCCCCTATCAGTGTGCCCCCTTACATCAGTGTCCCCATCAGAGTGCCCCCTTACATCAGGTGTCCCCATCAGAGTGCCCCCTTACATCAGGTGTCCCCATCAGAGTGCCCCTTTACATCAGGTGTCCCCATCAGAGTGCCCCTATCAGTGTGCCCCTGTACATCAGTGTCCCCATCAGAGTGCCCCCTTACATCAGGGTTCCTAATAGAGTCCCCTCTTACATCAATTATCCCCATCAGAGTGCCCCCTTACATGGAGTGCCTCCTTACATCAACCTGCATCAGATTGGCTCACAGATCAGTGGATGCACTCCTTGAGACGTTGAGGGGAATGGCTACAATCTGTGGGGACAGCCCATCCCAGCACTTCCCTAGATCCGACCCTGCTACATTACTACCATACTACACTATTACCATCTTTGCTGGCTCTGGTGTGAACATTATTTACTGCAGTTTGGATCAGTCCTGGGAACTGGGGAGGAGAGTACTGTGGATGGATGCATAGGCTACCCTGGATGACACCTACCTGTGATAACATGTTAAAGTGTTACTAAACCCACAACAGTAAAATCAGTCTGTATATGCAGTAAAGCATGCTTGTTATACTCAATGTGGAACCTGAGGGGTTAATCCTCTGCATTGTGTAAAAAGGCCATTTCACCCTGTCTTCTCTGCCCCTCCTCTTCTTCAAATGTCCATGTCTTACCTCCTGACAAGACAGATTGAACCCGTAGCCATTCTGCTCATGCTCAGTTTAGTGTGTATTGCTAGAGAAGTTTTGTTTTCTTGGGAAAATGCATGTGATCAGCACAGGGCCAATCAGTACTGTCCAGACAGAGGTCATTGCTTTTGCATCCTCCTAGGGCAGAAAGAAAACTTCTCCTACAAGCTTTAGCTAGTGCTTGGCTGAACACTGATAGAAGCCACAAGACTGCTGTAACTTCTGATGAGAAAAGGTATTTAGCAGTTTATCTTTACTAAAATAATAGAACTTCCATGTTCTGTGTACTGTGGGAGACCAGATATAGTGAATGCAGGGTCCTGGATTTAGTAACACTTTAAGCTTGCTGCACATTTTGGAGGAAATATAATACATAATAATGTTTTTTGGACTATATAGGATTTTTTTGCACTTTATCAGCACTTTATGCACTTTTATACATATACTTTATTTTTATTGTGATATTGTACTGTACTTTAGGATATTTATATTGATTTTTTGCATTTACATAGATATGTGACTAAGGTACCGTTCACATTTAGCCCGACTTTGAAATCGTGCAACTTACAGTGAAGTCACATGATTTCAAAGTATGGAGACCCGCCGGTTTCAGGTGCAATTTGCAAGACATCTGATACAGATGCCTATGCAAATCGCACCAAAAGTAGTGCATGTACCACTTTTGAAATCAGTGCGACTCTGACCAAGTCGGAACCGCACCGAAATGGCTGCTCCAATTGCTGACAATAGGGTGCGACT